TTTGTTATGATAACGCATATTGGTTTCAAATTTACCGTGTGGGCGACCTTCCAGCCCTTTCGACTTTAGTGCATTAAATAAAACGGTCTCGTTGCATTTGGTTACTTCTTTAACATCCTGGTATTGCTCGCAAATTTTTCTGATCGATATGAAGCGTTGATCAGTCTGTACTAGGAGCTTTTGTTGTAGATCTGGAAGATTAATTCCGGCAATGAGGCGATCACTCAGTTGGCTTTCAAGTTGTTGGCCGTAGTCACATTTTGCAGCCTGTGTTTGCAGTTGGAGGACAAAATCACGAATACTCTGAGATTCGGATCGAATAAGCGAATTGAATTTCGCTCGTTCTGCGGCCACAAAATTGATAGGCTTAAAATGACTGAGAATTAACTTCTTTAGAACATCGAATGTGCAATCGATCGGCGCCGTAGGGAATGATAAATTCTTCACAAGAGCATAAGCATCCTTCCCAATGTAGTGCAGGAAATAAGCTGTCTTCTTTTTATCATCCAGATCCGATTTGGTAAGACACCAAATGCTGAAGCGTTCCAAATAATCCTCCACCTCCCGTGCAGTTGAATTTACACTGAGCGATTCCAATTCAGATAACATTGTGATGAAGAGAAAAAAATTCCGGATCGCGACGCCAAATGCGATAATTAGACTAGTGGTAGGCATCGTAACTACCGAATGTACGCGTAGTATAGAAGTCCGAATATGGACGAATGAATATCGTATATTCTCGTATATCGCGGGCGTACTATCAATCGCATCGTAAAACAAAAGCATATAAAAATAAACTAAACAGAATGAATAGAATAGAGTCAATGTTCACCACATGAAGGCAAAGCCATAACTGATCTGAGGAAGAAGAAAGTGAGGGAGCAATAAACGAAATCAGTGACGGTACGAAAGAATAAATACAGGCGAGTAAGATGAACCAGGGCCCAATGGTTTTCTGAGACGCTTGCCTTTATCCACGATGGGAAAGGGAGAGGATAGGGTGTGTAAGCTAATTTTATTTATTTTGCCATTTCAAACCGAAGGAATCAATTTACCGGGGAAACTTTTGAATGACGGGGCAAACGGTGGTGCACGAAGGCTTGGATAGGTTTGGCGTATAATGGTACTATAATGATTAAAGTTAGGTAGTTGCGTAGAACATCCCGGCAATTATTTCAACACCGGAACCTGCCATCTTTCAGATGGGAAATGAGGATTAACAATCAATTTGAATGTATGCCTTAAGATTTTTGCTGGCTATAAGTAGACATTTAACTCATGCGTTACCACTTCATGGATGCGTTACTTTGCATTTGATCAATCTTTAAATGACCGAGGTGCTTTTTGGGCTTCGTTATTTTTCTCTTTGGAGGGAAAAAAACTTGGACATCTCACTCGATCTTGTGTGGTGCTCTGGTGGTGAGATTCGGAACAGACTGAACACCTATTATCTAGTCAGGGAAAAGCGGGCTTCCAAGCCCCACCACCCAAGTACAGAACTGCCGATACGCTTAACTCGGTTTTCCTTGTCGGTAGTGAGGCAATCTTATGCCACCTGCGTTTTCCAGCTTTTCATCCAGCTGCATCTAGAACCTTTGATAGTCCTTTTTTTCGCTTTCAACTCCAACGAATCAACTACTGGCTCTACGCCAGTTAATTTATCAGGGCAATGAGAACAAAATTTCTTAAGTTTGTAGTTGCTCTTATTTTTGGATACTTGAAATTTGAAAGTTGGATTTGAGGCTGCCACCCTGTGAAAAGACGCCACAAAGATAGATCGACAAAAGTGGTCGAGTAAAGAATAGGAGATTGGTGTAGAGCATCATGAGATATGCGCACTTATTTTGCACTGTTGGTCTAGATCCTGTATTTGATACACGTGTGGGTTGTTAAATCGCACGTGTGGCATGGAAGGATCTTAGATACTTATTGGAATATTCATTCTTCAGTCGTTTCTGACCAGGACTGGCTGCACAGTTGGTTGTGTCATGCTGAATGTTCAGCTGTGCTTTGAGCCGGAATTTTCTCATTTTTTGCACAGCAGACCTCCTCCTATAAGTACCATCCAGCGAAAACGGAAAGTGGTAATTTGAAAGGGGGTAGCGTTTTGTGATTTGAGTGGGCTCAAGAATCACCGCTTCTGGCGGGAAATTACGTTCCAACTAAATGTCCTTGGTGTCTGTGTTCCACATTACACTCCTGAAAGGTGTGCTGATTCGTCTATCTATTCCTATTTCTCTTCGCCATTCCGGAATCCGTACAAACTCGAAGGCCCGAACAGTCGCATCGCCAATAATCACCTGTTTTTCGTTTCCAGTATTAGACTGCAGAGCTTGTCCTCGTTTATCGAAGTCACGCGTTTTTAAATCCTCCCCGGTGTGCGAGTGAAGTCATATCAGACGTTTGTCCACATTTTTGCTCGTGTGGTCATCGTGAATGTCTCGACTGCCGGAAAACTCGAGGCTTGTTGTAAGGGCAAAATCTACAACTGAGTTTGAAACACCACAAGTATACTTATAGCACTATCGTCAGTTCACGCACCGATTATTTATTGTTATGCCTATTCTGCGTCGTAGTGACTGCTGTTAGCCAGTGGTCTGAGTGTCTTGCAATAATTCTGCAGCGGTGTAACGAACTGTTATATTGAAAGAAATTCAAAAGGTCGCTTGAATGAACGGCAACAATAGCGTGGATAGATTCTTGGATAATTGAGGCTTCGACTTAGATTTCCAAGCGCCCTTATAGGTGATTTCTGTGAGGGGATGAACTCTGTGATGAATTGGTTCTATTCTTTTTATGGTAGGGGATATTGTGAACAATTCAAATGATCTTACTGGGAAGATTTTTGTGTTGGTGGTCATAGGAGGATCAAAGCGGGGTACCGTACTGGGTCTAAAGACTTCATTGTAAGGCGAACCAACAGAAGGTAGTACTTAGCCCTGAAACTAGTAACGCGACCAGATCAATCGACCAAGCCAAAGGCAGAAAATCTGTCTCAGGTTTCATTAGACAGTGCATTTCCTTTTGACTGGTGACATTTTACGATCCTTTCCCGCGGAGAGACCAGTGATGTGCGCATGCTATTTCTGTGCGCGCAACTTCGGCAGTCAAACACGTCATGGTGATTTAATTTTCAGGACAAATTATATCAAGCAGGTGGGTAGTGTTTGGAGACACGCGGTACTTCATTAGGCTGGGTCGTTCAATCCTCCTACGTCAGTTTGTTTGTTTATGGATTATTCTCCGAAGCCCAGAGTCGACTCAATGGCGTAATACTTACTCTCATAATTGACGGCTCTCAGTTCAGACAAGTTACACTGATATCTTAAACAAAAACGCGACACTTTCACACTGATCCACGGATGTCCGACAAAAGTTTATCGCGAACCGTCGAAAACCAGAAGCAAAATTGTACCAATTCAGCCAGATAATTTATGAGCACTTGGCGAAATGCGTCAAAAATCCTACACAAGGAAGTCAAGAAAATGTCTATTCCCGGAGCTTTTAGGCGGTTTCGATGGCTTTGCCACTGCCACCTGATGGCTGTGACGTATCGCGGCTTTTTTCCGTGGAGAAGACGCAGATTTTCAGACATATCGAGGTTCCATGTGCGGTGCTATATGGTATCACGATATTATATATAATCGACAGCGCACTATCGATGCTGTGAGCGTTGCAACAATCTGAGTTCACTGGCCGGTCGAAGACATGGGAGGCCAGGCCCACAGGTTACGTGGTCAAGACCGTAACCAGGATGACGGACCAACAAGTAGAACCATCTGACCAAAAATCCAATCGTTACCGGTCATTCCCGACTTGAAACAAATGAAACAATACCCAACACAAGGACAGTGATGCATCGCCACGTTCAACTCCGCTCTCCAGCAATGCACGGATGGGTATACCCCGATTGGTGATGAATGGTTGCAATCAAACTACCCAGCTCAGCGAGCGAACCAACGGCCATCTACGCCACCAACATTCCATTCAATAAAAAGTGAATACCATCTTGTGGCATTATAGCGATGTGAAACGACCGGTGATATTCCTAACTTCACAGCATAACGAATTGTCTCGAGTTTGAAATCGAACAAGAGAAAAGTCACAAACGAAAACTACAGCCATTGTAATCCCGTGTGTCATTCAGCTCAGAAAGACGCAACAATGGTAACCAGTCTCTGGAATGCCTTCCAGACTTTAGAAACTGATTGGCCACAGACCTACGCGCACACATAAGGAAGTTTCAGCACTTGATAATTTGAAACGTAAGGTTTACGATAGGTATTACGAAGTCTTCCGCGGCATTCTAAAAACTATTATATCGCTTCCGGTTTTCGAATGTTGGGACAAGTTGAAGTAATCACAACAATGAAGAATTCTCGAAGGAAGCTGTTCACAAGGTTGCTGAAGACTTTTCGACAGCCTACGACCGGTTTCGTTCTTGTTGGGACTCATCAGGTAGGCGCAGCCCCCGAAACTCCCTCAGCCTTATTATGTCCTACCTGAACCCGAATCGAACAGATTTCGACAGATGCGATCACTCAAATATCGTACAAAAAGAAACATGAGGCGGCCTTTGTCCAGCGCATCCAGTTGACGAACATAATAAACGATATTCAGTTAAGCCTCCAGTGAAAACCAAATTGATATACAAATGACTGCATTTGTCGATAAGGTTCTCTAATTCGAGGCATTTCATTACCTCGAAAATCTGCCCAATTTGAACAAACTGCTATCCAAAAGAAACTACCGGCATGGGTAGTCGGACTAGACTTACCCCTCATTTAAGTATTGACATTAGAAACACCGCGGTTTACCCCTAGGATCGGCTGCTGTAAGCTGTACATCGTTTTGCAGTTAAATTTCCATTTGAAATCAGATACTCCACAAGTTGAATATTCAATTTCGACTTGACTAAATGGGCTGCGGTATTCAAGAACTTTAATGTGACATCGGCAGTACTTTGTTCAAACCAGTCCCCATGAACCACTGGAAATTTTGTTATGAATCAATGTACTTCGTTCGAAAATTACAGTTCAGGAGAAATCAACAAGTTACAAACAGTCGCAAAAGCCCCAAAAGGTACTGCACTATTTCCGAACCGCCAAGTTTTGATTCCCCGTAGAATCTGTCGACAAATGTTATCCCAACCTGAAAAAAGAGAGACGAAAGGGTTAACCACTTGTATGAAAACCGGTGATCCCTCGAAAAAAATCACCGAATACGTCTGTTATCCCCAATCTTTTAACCATAATGTTTTTCCACTTAGGTAGATGCATGTACTTTACATTAAACGGTGTCTACCCGGAATAGACTAGCGAAAAGGGTAACTGTTCACATACGATCAAGGTGTCTAACGTGTACAATGATTCTTACTTCACCGATGGTATAACTCAGGGAGGAAGCAAGGACGAGCATCTCCATTTGAAACACGTAGCCTTTGGAGGTACATCGTGAGACGAGGTCCTTCAGGACGTTGCGTTTGTACAACCTGGGTAAAAGAGAGGAAAACAGTACACAGATTAAGAACCTGAAGGACGGTAGAAACTCCACTGACAATTGTGCACACTAAGAACGAAGAAAGCTGCAGAGGATGCAAATTGAATTGGATCTGTTGTTAGGTGAAAACGATGTAGACATTTAAATTAGGAACAACCGTCCGATGTGTGGTCGATCGCTTAGACTGACAGACTGGTCGTTGAAGAGTCAGAGCCTAGAGGTGATCACTAGGGGATGAAGTAGTTCAAGTGTGAACACTACGTGTGCAATCCATGTTATCAGAAGAAAGACAAGAGTTCACCAAATATCAACAGATCTAACTTTCCATCAGGTCGATATCACTAATAGGTCAGTGATGATCAACCATGTTTCGTCAAATGAGGCATATCAAACACAAGCTGAAACACATCATGTGTAGAACAGTCGATTTCCTGCGGATGAGGTTACGCACTACAAGATCATGAGGCTATTCGAACACAATTCGAGATCGTAAGGAAAGTCCAAAATGGTCTGAACCCAGTAGTGTGCGCAAAGTTTTATGTAACCCCCACGGTAAGTAGCGGTCAAAGCATGAGTGTCGGAGTTTGCAGTGTGAAGAGACTTGTGAGCCAGTCAACACGGGATGTGGGTCCCGTGATTGAAGGATGAGTGGTGCTGTATCTTGCCTAAATGCGAGCTAATCACACTGCTGATCTGTATCCTGCCTAAATGCGAGCTAATCACACTGCTGATGAGCAGCTCGTGACAGGACGGTTAAGTGTTCAAACGCTAGTCGGGATTTCGCGTGTTCGCACTGTAGATAATCCCCAATAAGTATCAAACAGCCGTACAGTGGCTGTTTGTAGGTTGTGGCTGTATGTAGATTGGCTTCACTTACAAGGACGACATCTTCATTAGGATGTCGGAATTCTAGCGTTTACCGACACCACATTTGAAAACATTATTATCTAAATGTCTGGTAGGTAGAGTGAAAGCATATTAGTCACATAACTGAATGAAGGACTCTCTTGGCCATTCTTATTCTTTAGCCAGAGCGAGCCATGATAACGACTGAAAAACGAAGCGAATTTGTGTACGAAATCGTAACCGTTCAGGTGTGACACTATTCCGATGCCTAACAACCGTGTGACAGGGAGCAAGCACGAGGGCTATGTAACGCCAGGTTACCCCAGCCTAGATAGAAGTCGTCAAGATGCAGAGGTTGGGTTTGAACCACGGACCTTCCGGTCAGCAATTTCGCGCCTTAACCGCCAAGCCGACGTCAGGTAACCATTCAGCCATCTCATTTGTGTATAGTACTAGTAGTAGATGGGGATGACGATGCAATCAAAACGCAGCATCAATTATGGTCAGCATACTAGGAAGTGTGTACAGCAGTGTGAAGATATGCATATGTGAGACCAATTTGTGAATAAAATGAGATCCCTGCACCATCGTTGTCATTATCAACAGCATGATACCAGTTTTCAAAATTGATGTTTCGCTGCCATACAACAATGATTTATTTGAAAGTACTATTAAGAAGAATAGAAGCGGACAGGTAAGATACTTAGTGTTAGTCTACCCCAATCATTACGAGGGGTCTACACCTCCAGACGCTCATTCAGGCAATCTGGATAGAAACTGACAACAAGAACGCCAATGAAATTGATTGGCAGCCATAGCTTGCAGCGTCTCCAACCAGTCACAGTGGGGATTGCACGGTCCTCACACCCGTTTGCCAGGCCAATGGTTGACAACTTCTCTGCTCCCGCCACTCTGAACTGGGAACGGAAAACAGCACTCTTCGGCAAACTATGGTTCGGCACGCACAATACAGGGCGTATCCAATGCAGCTCCTGGAACTCGACACATTCTTCAATGAGAGTCCCCGAAAACTCGCTTTCTAATTGTCTCGTTATGGATCCCCCGGCACTCATTCACATGGCCTATGATTCTGACCTCCTGAAGACGTCTCAGTTCCGCTGCTCGAACAGGTCAAGTCTCACAGCGATACACCAATACAGTCCCTACTCTGGCCTGCTACACAACTAGCTTGAGATTCAGGGATATACCGCTTTGCCGCCATAGGTGTCACAAATTAGCAAACGCGACCCGAGCCTGTTAAACTACAGTCGGAACTAATACAACTCCCAAGATATGTAAAACGCCCCACAGCTTCGAGTGCCACTCTGAATTGTAAATGACTGCATGTCCATGAATATGACCTTACACTTTGGGGATGCAGTGCATACCAAAAGATAGGATAACTATAGTCAGTTCCTCCAAAAACAAGAGGGCCTTCTTCACCCTTTCGAACGCAAGAACGGTATAGTCTGCATATTCCAGATCGACAAGGTCTTCGTCAAAGGCTATCTGAACAACGGGTGTTTCGAAGACCCTCCAGCGTTCGTCTCGTTATCTCATCGATCACGAAATTAAATAGGAATGGAGAGAGTATAAACCCCTGATGGATACTGCTTTGTGTACGGAAACTTTCTGGGAACTCTCCGTACATTCTTACGCGTCCGGAAGTCTGAGAGTACAAAGAGCTTATTATGTTCACAAACTTTCGGGACATTCCTTGATGGGCAAGCGAGTCAAAGAGAACATACCGGTCAACCGAGTCGAATGCGCCTTGGAAATGCACGAATACTAAAATTATGTATCGTTTGTACGTATGATGGATTGTGAGAATTTGGTCAATGTAACCCCTACCAGGCAGAATACCCGCTTGCCGCCCTCTGGTCAGTTTTTCATGAGCCACCATGAAGCGATGAAGCACAAGTAACGCCAACAGTCTCGTCAGGACCGGGGTCAAGATGATTCTCCTGTGGTTACCACACTCACAACGAGCCTCTTTTTCGAAAATGGGCAATATCACCGACTCCCCCCAGTTGTTTGGATCAGTCCCCTTTTCCCAACGCAGGCAAACAGGCCAGAGATGCGCTGACTGAGGACTGAGAGATTACTGCAGTCAATTCAGTACATTCTTCTGGCTCTTCTGGCAGATAGTTTACGCTGCATTCGTGATTTCACGTTCGTGCAGCTGTCTCAGATGTGTACTATGTTCCAAAAGAAACTTGCACCTGTTATGTGACAAAACCAGATGACCAGACACACCACTGACTTTGCTCCAAAAATCAAAGATCGACTAGGGACTGAAAGGTCACTGGTCAATTCTGCTGTGGCTGAATCCCACGAGGATAGAATATTTCATCACTCCTCAACTTAGACCCAGTTAATGAAGGTTGTGACAGGGCTGCACAAGTCTAAAGAATTTCTTAACATTTCCACGTGAAACTAAACGCACCCTGCCCAATTGGATCCGTCGACAGGAAGAGCAAGTCGCAGTGTTTTGTCGGACATAATACGTCTGGTTTCAATGGAAGCCTGTGGACAAGAATTACACCTCTATGTTATTCGCCAATACAGTATTCTGTGCTTCAGGTGTACGCGGAGACACCCCCATCGAAGGCACGATCTCAGAGGCATATCCCACTGCGGTCCCCATGAAGAGTATGACCCCCAGATTTTCACAGAAATTTTCTGGCTCCCGAATAGGTAATACGGACCCCAAAAAGCGATTCTACAATGAAAATGTGCATTATATTTATTAATCGACTACCGCTTCAAAGAATTAATGCTGTAGGTGGGATTGATATACTGACTCTCTAAAACAGTGAGTTGACTTCACCCGACCGCTAATTTCGTCTTAGGTACGCACACAGCCCCATTCGGTTGAATCTTTCACAATTACGAAACCGACTAAGCGCAACACAGCTAAAAAAGAGTGAAACAATGTTTAGTGACGCAATGTTTACCAACTTCGCAATACTAATTCTTCATTGTGACCTGAGAATACGCCATCACGATAACGTATGTTCTTCAGTAGTCCTTAATTAAACTTGACTAGATAAAAAAACCGCTAGGTCCCAATGACCTAGATGGTCGGCGCTAACGAGCAGTAAACAGGTTCACCATGTGGCATTAGCATTTTTGAATCACGGACATGGAAGAAAAATAATCGTTCAGCTGTAACGCCCTTCCGGTGCCTAGCTGCCATGCTACCTGAAAGAAGCACGAGGGCTAGGATACTGCCAGGTTGTCCAAGCCTAGACAGGAGAAGTCGAGAGGCGTAGGTCGGGTTCCAACCACGGACCTTCCGGTCAGTAAATTCGCGCTCTAACCATTTGAGCCACCTCATGGACATGGAAGATACAGTGAATGTCTACGACATAATTCAGGTGAAAGGGAGAATCCCGACACCCTCCTAAGCTGTTGGAAATAATCTGAAACAAAGAAATTTCATCACTGCAGTGCAGGATGATATCGGTGATAGTCTGCGGACGAGTATTATTCAAGTTTATGCGCAGTAAGTTGTATCAAGAAGAGTCGTTCGTGACGGGTGAATTCGACTACTCAGCCCAGGCACTACATGGCTAGCTCAGCTGATTGGCGAGGCAGTCGAAACTCACGTTTTGACGGGTTCATGAGCTAGCGAGGATCAAGTTATAACCGCCAGGATCTCCAAGTAATGGGATAACGACGCGGGTACAATAGGTTGCTCGTACAACCTTCCGGCGAATAACGAAGTTAGCCAACTGCTAAAATATTCAAATAAGTCGTTAGGATTATCTGAGATTCGGGTCAAGCTAAACTCTCACTAAAGCAACAACGTCTTTGTTCCAGGTGGGGAAGGCGCTTTGCCGTTCCAGAAATAGTGCTTGGACAGTAGCGCGTTCGTTCGAGACAATTGTGCAGTGTTATATGATTTCTATCCGTCAGATAGCAATTTGAATTCGGGTACCACGTATATCTATATACGTAACTGCCAAAACACCTGAATGGAGACTGTGATGCTTACACAATTTTTGGTTGCTGAGTTCGAAAACATAGGCTTCATTGTTGTGCAAGCGACTGACCTCATGGGATGTGTTGAACAAAATATACTAAATTTTGTGACTTGCTTCTCATCAGAAGTAGACGTAACAAAACGGGAAACTGATACGAAGAACTGCTAAAGATGACCTACTTGGGAGTACTTGTAGGTGCACTGGTGGTTAAGAGCTAACACGAAAGAGCAGTGCGTGATCTGTATTGCTCTGACACATGTCAAGCCGTGGTTCGTGGATTTTAATTTTCGCTAGACGAACGAGAGTTTCACAGTAAACGCGAATCTGAAAAAAATCCTGTAACGACAAGCGTTTGGGATGAAACTAGTGAGTCGGAAGTACTCCTAAATTCCAGTGAGGAAATTACGGATCCCGAGAAACACGAACGTTCTGCATTCCACTGAAAACCGTAGGGAACTACAGCCCGTCGTCCCACTGTAATTGATTGATACCTAATGCCTCATAGGAATCGCTCATCTTCACCCAGCAAACCTGACGAATGGGGACTCAATTTTCGAACGTTACTAGATAGTGAAACAAAGTACTACGCCTTTCTCTCCTTAATTCCTCTGAAAAATAGTGGCGCGACGACAGGATATTAGCCAGAGATGTAGTATTTCCGACTGATATAGGGACAAAACAGAACTACGTATAAATTTTCCACAAGTCTTGATCTTGCTAGTATACGAAGAAAGTAGAAGTAATTGAAGCTGCTTACTGCTACTGATGCTTTAACAATGCACAAGAGCGTCTTTCGCCGGAATTTACACCACTTGTATGGGAAAAAGTTTCATTGGTCTTTGCGAAAAAATCAACCCATATAGCATCCACTGTTTGTCGATTGAGAGTTCGCACTGTGGAGTGTCAACTGTTTCAAGTGGCGATGTTCCTTTAACAAAAAAGCCTTGTTACTTATTGTCATATCTAACAGATTTGCAATCATAGCTCAGCTGTGCTCCAAACCTGTAAGAAAAATCCAGGGCTCCCTTACTAGCTATGCTAGTAGCATCAGTACCAACAAAGTCCGACAAAATTGAAATATCGCACAGTTAAGTACAGAACTACTTGCTTCATGATCGGGTCCCGTATAAATATCACTGGGCACCTTCGTTACGAACATGTCACTCGAACTGCGTTACCCGGTTGGTGGAATTCTCGAATCTTTACGAAATGGTACGGAGAATTTGGGAGGCCCCACTTTGTGGGTAGCCGTAGAAACCAGTCAAAAGAAGGACACTACGAATACAGCACCCATTTGAACTACCAAATATCACGGAACCACATTCATAGTTGAGAGCAGCATTGTTGTTTAAAACGTGGCCAGAATCGCAGTTGGATGGCTCACCATCACCATAGATTATAATGAATGTCGGTCGCATTGAAGTAACCGTTAGCTTTCGTCAACATAGGCCACTAGAGATGGTAATTCCATAGTATTGCTCGTGTCACCGCCATGTTCTCTACTGTTGTCACCATCCGGCACTCGAATCCGTCAAACCGTGTACATGTGAGCATGTGATGTGTGCCCAATGGGCGAATAAGGAGAGAATCCCACATATTATCAGCGAATCCTAAGAGCCTTCAGAAACGGTGTCATTGTGGATGCAAGTAAACAGAAAGTAAACATCATGCTGGTGCAATGCGACTCAAAGTTGGCGAAGGCGAACATAAGAAATTGTGCTTACCGAAAACTTCCAGTTAAATCAGATGCTTTCGGTCGGAGCAAGACTTGGGCGATGTAGTTTGCGGTGCGGCTAGGTGAAGAAACAGAGGAAGAATAGGCAATCAGTGTTTGGGTGGTGCAGATAACAGATTAATCTCAAATCCTCCGGAAAAAATGTAGTCATATTATGGATTCAAATTTACACTATATAATTCAGAAACTCAGACCTATTCTACTGGAAGAATACTGGAAAGGTTGATGAATTTAAAAGGCAGAGATCTATCCACTTTGTGAGTACAAGGTTGACGCGCCAGTCAGTGAGAATCAAGACGAAAAGTCAGTAGCGCTAGAGGTTGACGAAATTAGACCATGAACCGTTTAGGCAGCATGCTGTAAGAGCAGAATTGCGGATAGTTCGCAATTGTTTGGTGCTCGCGAAATGAGAGAATTAAACCAGCCAAAGGTGGTTAAATAGAAATTATACTAGTTGTTGATTAAGTGACGGTCGATCTATTCGCCGGCCTTGGTAGTTGGCTCTACAAACGTTTCGTCACCACCCGCGGAGAAACCATTAGTGCGCCTTTGGCTGGGCTTAGCAAGTCAACGCACTCGAATTACCGACAGTTCTAAATACCAGCAATAAAAACCGGTACAAGAACCCATTATCTTTATAGATAATAACGACGGAACAACAAATCAGTCTTTTGACACCCAAGATACGAACTGAATATCTACTGCGAGGCAAGCTACTGAAGGCTTGATTAATTTCCAGGTAGCTTGTCATATGAAATTCATTCCTGCGTTAAACTCCCCATTGAGCCAACCAATCGGCCAGTAAAGCACTAAAATTCTGATAGCAAACCAGGAAAAGCTGGGTTTGAAAGGCGCCACTTATGGTCGGCCGATGAGGGATAGGTTCACTCATTTGGGTGGAACTGTAGCATAAGGTTACGATACAACAGTCAGGAATGTTGGGTTTAACATAACCTGGTTCGAGCAATCCGGTCACATATGTGAAATCCTGATATACAGATTGGCCACATTTACCAAATGTACGAACCACTTCCAGCCGTAGATAATTACCGCGGTTTCCTTAGCCATTTTTTACCAGTAAAAGGCCAGCAAATGTCATCCAAATACGAGTAAATTGTAGTCAGTCTGATCACCAACAAACCATGCAATCAGTATAGGAGGGAATAAACCGAAATTTAACTTAATATTACGTTGACGAAAGCCTACCAGTTTCGAGAGTTTCCGTCAAACTGTTGTTTTTCCTGTTATCTCCACCGACTACACTAGTACCATATTTACCTCCTGAGCGAATCTAACAATACTGCACCCGTTACCATATATTTCTACTTCCAACAAACCTTTGTTGCCGGATCGAAGGAGGATTTCACGGTTTCACCTAACTTTTTTATCCATGTTTTTGACCTGAGGCTGATACACAAGCCTCGCAAATACATCCGTCGAGAACTCTGAAATTGGTGGGTTTTCCTGAGCTTTTCCTACTCATTTCATTATATCATAGATCTGTGAAAATGTCAGTAAACCGTCAAATATCGGCAGGAAAATCCTCATCATGACTGATTACAGCTACGAATCTTCAAAGAAGCCGGAAATTCTCCATGCAACAGTAAAAATATGATTCAACTAACCACAATTCAGTCACAAGAGTACTCGTTTTAGCGGTTCCTGCAGGCCGCGGTGGATAGGAATGAAAGAGCCTATGACTACTACAAACATTTCCAAGGCAATGCTAGTGTCGAGCAAAATTGTTGTTTACAGACTAAAGTGAGAGTGTCAAGTTATATCTCGTGGTCTTCAAATGAGTTGTAGATACCATTTTCCTTGTAGATGCCCCATACACGATGGAAAAACCAAAAGTTGAGGTCCAGCCAATTGATCAGTGGGGCTCTTGCCTCAGTTTCAACGTGCAACTGTCCAAAGCATCCACCAACAAATACCGAAAACTTGCACCTCAACCTATTGTTTTCCATCAGTAACTCCTACGCCGGACTGGTGCGTGTATACGCGACCGAAATCATAGATGCCCCATACACGATGGAAAAACCAAAAGGTGAGGTCCAGCCAAGTGACCAGTGGCGCTCTTGCCTCAGTTTCAACGCACAACTGTCCAAAGTATCCACCAACAAATGACGAAAGCTTGCACCTCAACCTATTGTTTTCCATCANATACCGAAAACTTGCACCTCAACCTATTGTTTTCCATCAGTAACTCCTACGCCGGACTGGAGCGTGTATACGCGACCGAAATCATGCCTGACCAAAGCCTATATTAATCCATCGTTCAGGATGAGCAACTACGGTAGCTGGAACAACCGTATCTTGGTACACGGCATAGAATCAGTCACACTCGATCAGTTGGCTTTCATTGAGTATAGCACCCACGAATCCAGTTGACTTATACTGCGATAAAAGCAGTGAAGGGATTAGGGTACCAGCTCCCGCGTACGCTTGTGCGAGGTCATCAGGTTTCGAATGAAATGAGCTAAATAAAGAAGCTGAAATTCCTATCTGATAGTGAACAGTCATCACCTGAAAACGATCCGGTGTCATCAGGCAAACAGCTGGACATGCACGAACCTATGTAACACACCTGATAAATTTCCGCTTCAGATCCCATCCGCTTACGCCCCCGTTCAAGGAATACCGCGTACCGGTAACAATGTCAAGGTCCCCTTTTTTCTGTAGCCTAAAAATGTGACTCCGTGACTCCATCTGTCAGAACAACTCACTCAATAAACTTGGGAATAAATTTGGGCTGGAAAAATGCACTCGGTTAGTTATCAGACGTCTGTCCAACATACGTGATGAGAAAGATCCGCATCCATGATCACGATATACTCGCCCTTAGCGAACTGCAATCCATGCAGATAGGCTGTACCTGTGTAAAGAGGTATACACTGTAAAACAGGAATGGAACTGAGCGTACCCAAACCAAGCTTTTCCTTACGCGGTTTGAGCACCTACGGACACGAGTGGTTAGTGAATCAGCACCGAGAAACTTACGATTTTTTCCTTCCCATAGATTTCTTGCAATCGCTTCGCCACATCCAGGGTACCATCAGGACTGTTGTCATCAACGATAATTACCTCATATTCGTGACCACTGTAGAACAGAAGCAAGGGTCACCAGTTCATTTTCCGATAGTGAGAAGCATTTTACTGAAAAAAGTGCAGAAGAAGCAAGAACCTTATAAACGAGAATCCGGGTGTCCTAATGAGGCACCCATGACCTCTGATCTTTGAATGTGGCTTCAGCTGCGCTTTGAAACGAATGTCTATGTGTAAGACAAAATGCACTAGTGCATCTCGGAAATTCTGTTATGTTTTTCATTTTGTCTCCAGGCCATGTGCAGTTCACCTTGTGGTATATTCTAGTCCGAACTTTCCTCATCAAAAAGGACGTGGCGAGGCAATCGGTCACCTAATATACGGAGCACATGACCCGGCACCACCAAAAAAGCAGCTGATATGCTGCCAAAAACCATTCGTCACCCTTCAGAATTGTTAATTCGATGTTCTCACTATACATGTGCAGTACTTCGAAGGCGCCCATGATGAAGAACAAGTCACAACCGTAAAGCGATATTGAACGTGCTGTCGTGTTCTAGACCCTGGCTTTCAGCAACAGGCAAACGATATCCGTGGACCTCGAAAGTTGCCCATGAAAAGCCTCTTTTAGTGTCACAGCTGCAGCTTGTTGGGACGTACGCAGAGGTAACGGAAGAATTTCGGGATTGGGATCGCTGGTTGCGGTTCTGACAGATTAGGCCTCTCAACCACGGGAATATCGTAATTACTTCTGAAAATATAAACAACAAAAATCGGTGCTGACAGATTACGTCATGTGTAATTCTTCTAGTAGCGATAGTAATAGTAATGACAATAATAATAATAATAATAATAATAATAATAATAATAATAATAAGCGTTCATCTGTAACAACCTTTCGCTGCCTGCCTACCATGCCAACGGGAAGCAAAAGCGCTGGGATACTCCCAGGTCTATACAGGAGCGGTCCAGACGCTGAGGTTGGGTTCGAACCACAGACCTTCCGGTCCGTAAGCTGGTGTCTTAACTACTGAGCTGCCTCGAGTCTCTCTAACTGTAGACAATCAGCTGTTCACAGGAAGTCAGTCGAGCAGTGCGTCTTCAGCTCTCAGTGGTTTGTGCGCGAATTTACTGACCAGAAGGTCTGTGGTTCGAACCCGACCTCTGCCTCTCGACTTCCCCTGTTTAGGTTTGGGCAATCTGGCAGTATCCCAACCCTCGTGCTTACTTCTGGTAGCATGGCACTTAGGCACCAAAAGGGTATTACAGCTGAACGCTCTTCTTTTTATCTTCAGCTGTCACAGTTAGGCAATACCCACATCACTGAGAACATGAACAGCTGCTCCTGGATCACCTGAGGCAAAGATAGCAAATCGTGAATAAACTGAGTTGCTTTGAACTGTGTACAGAACTACCGTTACAGAGTCTCGTGTGCGCGCTTTAGAGATACATCGATTTTTAAGGAGGATCTGTTTCAACAAATCGAAGCTGTAGTTGGTTGGTGCACAAGTAGACGAGACAAAGAGTATTCGGTATGTCGACCAGTGCAAGTAGAAAGTCGGACAGTACGAGTCGACTGTTTACAAGTATCCAGTCGAGTACGAATTTAAGGCAACACCAACACTGGCACTATTTGCCGCAACCGCTTCAGTATCACTCGAAGTTCATAGTCTGTAACGTCAGGGTCAGCAACTGCACTTCGATCCCGTATTGAGCTTCAGCGATGCAGCAGATGCCACAAGCGATAGTATCTGGTGTACGCGCACGTGCAGCTTGCTTTCCGGCCTACCTAAGAGTTAAAGAATGCAATAAAATCATGGGAACGAGGCCTGTATTGCGCACGTTGAGCAAGTGAGCGGCGGCGTCCAATGCATCAGTTCCGTAGGTGTCTAACTGGCCGATGTGTCTAAAACTGGGATCTACATAAAGGTGGTTGTCAAGTTGGGGAGATCGACAACAAGGAAAGGCATCATCAGTCGGATGTTTTCGCCTATCCAACCGGTTGTGTAATGAACGCACTTTTAGCTGTGAAGTTCATAACTGTATGTTGGTTAGGATATTGTCAGGAGACCGAACTTAGATAAGAGGACGATTAAGGTGTTTTGACTCAAACGGTTAACCGCAAGGCGGCGATTGGTTTGAGACAGCTCAACTAGTCCCAATTTTAAGTCAGCTGCCACAAGTGTACCAACCCCTAACATGGTGGAAACTGTTTGTAAGATCCCTGTTTATTGACCAACCTGACACAAGACTGTGTGTTGAATGGGCATCCTCCAACACAACTCAACAAACTACAGAAGTGCACAAAGCACCGCGATAAGGCCCAGTCTACTCATGAAAGGCTGAAGTAATGGGGACACAAATAGGCCGAATTAAAGCCGATAAGATAACGAGACTGGCCACTGCTACTAGGCTGTGTAGGCAGATATTAATTCCCAGCTGTCCAGGCAGAAGAAGGGTATTCAACCTAGGGCGGTTGACTCAAAACTCCGAACTACAAGAGAATGAGAGGGCGTAGGGCTTCACTAGTGGACCCGTCCCCTAGCCTCTGGCCAAAAAGTCTGAACAGCGAGACAGCGAACGTAAGTTTTCCATAGGAACCCTTCACGGAGTCAGTAATTCAATAGTACGACCCAACTGTCAGTGTGGGGATTGCCTAGCCCAGCGGTATAGGGAGTAAGACATAACTGTTTGACTCGGCTGCACATAGCGGGTGCCGACCGTGTGCACTGGTGGTTACAGTTAATCAATGGAAGATCGGATTATGGGGCTTCTAAGGCCCTTCTTTGCTAAGCCGTTTTACCTCGAAAGTAGTATCGGATGTGCTGGTCACCAGATCAGTTTACTTCCTTCTCACTCCCACCGCAGAGGATAGTACAACTTTACCCACCGATGTGATTACTAATAGTAGGGAGAAGTTGTTATTTGACCAACTGTTCCTCTGGCATTCCCGGCATGACTGGACCTTGAGGAACGGATTTTTACCCGGCTTGGTCTGCGGGATCATTACAACACATAAGGCCGACCATCAGTCCCGATGACAGCTTTTCATCGGGAACAAAAAGATAGTTCTCAAACTAAAATGTGCAGCTTAAAATTGACCATTTGCCAAAGATCATTATAGACGTATTCGACCACTGGTGCTTCGCTGTCTCAGTGTGCTTAACATGTTAACTCAATGACAGCTTTTCATCGGGAACAAAAAGATAGTTCTCAAATTAAAATGTGCAGCTTAAAATTGACCATTTGCCAAAGATCATTATAGACGTATTCGACCACTGGTGCTTCGCTGTCTCAGTGTGCTTAACATGTTAACTCAAAACCGCATAATAGTCATAAGAAGCTATTATTTCAGATTTCTTAATCTCATCATCCCGAATCTTATTCACAGCACCCCCGAACCGCGTAAGGTGATATCCAAACCAATCAATTCTACTCCTTCTATACACATGACTACATGATTACACCATTCCGCTGACCAACTACTCAGCTTGATTCTTACGAATCCATTTCTCCTGGTAACTGATCAACCTGTGCAAAACAATGCCAGAGAGCACCAGTTTGATGACATGATGGCTTTTGCATGACATTCTTGCGCCCTCTTTGAAAATTGGAATGGCTGTCGAGGCGCTTTACCTCGCTGGTACACTCTTTTCGTTCCAAATCCTCTGCAGGATGATCGTCAGACTGCTCATCATCAGCATCATAATCATCATCATTATCATCATCACCATCATCATCATCACCACCATCGACAGCATGACATCGGTGTTAAACACCAACGCTTCACTGCGGTACACTGCTCATTAAGATCCCACAACATTCTGCGAGGAGTGCAGTGTGCAATCCATCCGATTAGGTGCCTTATCGTGTTGAAGGAATGATACATCACGCTGGATTTCTGTTGTTGACGGCGGGCTGAATATCCGTTGATAATCCCCTCTAGGCGGTTCATTTGGTAAGTCTGTCAGGAAGTCTCAGAAGCAGGAAGTTGATCGATGTCTGTTTGTCGTGTCTGCTTACACCCCAACTTCCGGGAGCTCTGACACCGTCAAAGACAAATTTTTTGACGCCCTGTTGCGGCGATCTAAAAGCACAGATATCGCTGTCGTTGCCAGAGATTTGAATGCACGAGTGGGCAGGCTTAGCATATCTGAGACTCAATTAGGTGGTCGACATGGACTGGACTCGGCACGTAGGGACAATCGTGAACGATTGCTTCAGCTTTGTGCTGACCGCAGGCTGTTTTTATACAGTGCTGACTTCCGAAATAGCTGAAGTCGTCTGGCTACATGGTGCCCTCCAACGGCATGCCCGTCACGAACTCAAATCAACTGCACTTCCACCAGTTACCGGATCAGCAACTGATTGCCGCTCGTTTTGGAACACATTTGTGGATTTCGACCACGCAATGGGCCGGAGTCACCTCTCCGTTCGTTTTTCAGGGCCGCGTAAGGTGCGGAAAAATCACCTAGCAACTGCGAGACTGGAAAATCCGGATGTTATACGAATTTACCAGAGTCGTCTATCAGAATCTCTTCCAAATGCCCCACCACCAGATGTGAATTTATACTGGGACGAGATCGCCACCCCCTTGCAAGTGCTGGGAATTTTGCCTGTGGCGCATTCAAGCACTGGATATCGGACCGAACAAAGGCACTGTTTAAATCTCAGAGAAACATCTTAGTCGGTCCCGAAAATAAATTGGCCCGGAGAACTATCAGGCACTGAGTGAAGGTAAACGTGCGAAACTACTGTGAAAAGTGGTGGACACGGAAGTCTAAGGAAATGGAAGAGACCCAGAAGGCCGGGAATGTCCGAAGATTATTTTAGTTTATCCGTGTGACCGTCCCCCGGGAACCGCCTGTGAGAGAAACCATCAAGGATCGGAAATGAGCGACTACGACTAATAAAGAAGAACGCCTCAAACGGTGGGCTGAATACTTCAAATAACAACTATTGTGACCACCAGCTGCCACTCATCTGGAGCCCACAGTTGACGTAGAACCCTGGACGGTGAACGTGGAACCCCATGCAGCCTCGGAAGTTTGACTGCACATTTTTTTCAAGCTTCATCGACCTTCTGATCCGGATTACCTCCTACATGCGTTGTTCAAAGATGGGGGTGACGTCAGCAGTCAGCGATTATCTGGTATGCTTGACTGTATTTGAGAAGAGCACTGATCGAAACAACTTGGGAAAATCAGTGCTAAGACCGATTTTCAAAAAGGCCTCCGCACTGAGCGTGGTAACCACAGAAGGGTCAGCTTGACCCCGATCGTAACGAGATTGTTGGCGTCACTTGTACTTCGTCGCCTTGTGATGGCTCTTGAAAGGCTGACTCGGGAGTAGCAAGCGGAATTCCGGTATGGCAGGGGTTGCGCCGACCAAATTTTCACACTCCGTTAGGAGCTAGAGCTGCTAATCGTGGATTTCCAAAGCGCATTCGACTCGGTTGACCATTCTATTCACCTTGGCTCGCTTGCCCATCAAGGAATGTCCAGGAAGTTTGTGAACAAAGGTTCTTTGTATCCTCAGACTTCCGGACGTGCAAAGGGTATGAAGGGTTCTCAGAAAGCTTCGGTATACAAAGCGGTGTCCGTCCACACTCTGTAGTGTGACAAATGAGGTCAATGCATGAATCTGCAAGGTTTTCGGTTGTGCAACGGAGACTCATTGAAGAATCTGTAGGACTCTAGAAGCTCCATTGGATAGGCTACGTACTTTGCATGCTGATCCATCATTTGCCGAATAGAGTGTTGTTTACGGTGCCTAGTTTAGAGCGGCGGGATCAGTCTGGTGGTCAACCTTTGGTCTGGCAAAGAGGTGTGAAGTGAATTACGAAGTCTGGGTGAGACTCACCCTCCAGAACGAGGACCGCGTAACCCTCACAGTACCTGGTTGGAAACGTTGCAACCTGGCAAAGAGGTGTGAAGTGGATTAGGAAGTCTGGGTGCGACTCACCCTCCAGAATGAGGACCGCGTAATCCTCACAGTACCTGGTTGGAAACGTTGCAAGTCATGGCTCCCAATCAATTTCAGTGGCATTTTTGTTGTCAGTTTCTATCCAGATTGCCTGAATGAGTGTCCGGAGATGTAAGCCCTAAGAATAATTGTGGGGCTGGAAATAAGTCCGTTCCTTATCATTTTTTGCCAAAATACGGCCTTCAAATAAGTCACGGTTGTACGGCACGCTGATGTTATGCTGTCGACGGTGCTGACGACATATCAGGTGCCATATTTTTAGACTGCTCGAAAGTATCCGATCGAGTCCCATACTTTCCACTGCCCTGAAATCACGAGCCTCGTGGAATACAAGATAGTCCGAGTGAAAGTAGGCACGACCTATTTTTCTTTGGCACCGGTCTTCATTGGTGTTTCTCAAGGCGACATTTTGGAAACAATTCTCTCTCATCTGCATCAAAGACCTTCAAAATTCGCTTTCAAGACTAGGTCTACTTTTTGTGGACGACGTGAATTCCTAGAGTTTTAATGTCAGCGCCCTCCAAATGGACACAAACTCTGTAACTCATTGATTAATGGATTGGCACCTTCCTCTGAATGACGAAGTGGATCTCTGTGTGGTTCGGAGGAGACTTAGCGAACGCCTTTTTTGTGCATGGCTAGAATGGACCAAAAACATTGCGAAGATAGATACGAAAAAGGATGTAATAACCTGGATTTATTCAAACATATCCATCTCACTTCATGAACCATGGGCTAAAAAGTCATTGGTCGTCTTGCAGATTATTTAGAGTACCACCCCCCACCCCATAAATCGTATGAACTTCGAGATATTCTGTGGATCCTTTTGTCAGAATACTTCTTGAATATGGCAAAAGAAAATGGCAATCAAGACGTGACCCACAATGAGCGTGTCCAACAAGATGCCACGAAGATGGTTGCTGGCATAAAATCCGATCACTATGAGACGCCTCTTGGGGTGCTTGACCTCCTCCTCCTGGAATACCTTTGCCTCCGAGACCTATTACTTACTTAGTCCTGTGTAGACAGGGTTTGGCCAACATGTCTTTCGCCGTTGAATCAATACACGGCGGAGATGCCGCAAGATCTTCAAGCTCAGAGAGCACAGTTTTATCAGACAACAATTTTTTTATCTCGGGTGGTTGATGCGTGAAGTAGCCTTCCTCCGACGGTTGTACACGCTGCATCTGGTGCCAGCATCGAAGAATCTTTGGGTAGTTTTTTCATGAGTCCTCGGGCAGGTGAGCTTACTGCCCAGCGCTGATAACTCTGCCTTTCAGGTGAACAGAAGCCGATGAACGACAAGAACAAACCCAACCCGAGAAGATTGGGAGAAAGCACGATCCAGTGTATCAATCCGCTAATCATGAGCACCGGCAGTGAACCGCAGTGTTAAATCCGTGTCAAGGTAGCTGGCTGCGTATACTAAGTGACGAAACTTATAAAAACTGTATCCTCCGCAATCAAAGCCGAAAATGTAGCCATGGATATTGTGACTAAACGGTTGCTATAAAACGACCATAATGGCTTACACCGAGGGAATACAACACGAAAAACGTGTGTAACAATAAGAGAATCACTAAGCGGATAGGCTCACCTTTCTGAAAGATACTTATCGATCAACCAAACAACGATGGGTAAATTTTCCTTTTCATTGTAAGTTGGCAACAGTATCGAATAGACCGCCATCTGACGTACGCGACCTGAACACAATCTGACCTTGATGATCGATTCAGGGATTCGTGGCTCAGGATCACCGTCGGAAAAAGTGCCGAAGTAAGAGGTCGCACGGGAACGGCCCTGCTTTTTCATCATAGAATAAAAGGAGTATGCTTCGAACGCCAGTATGACCGGATATGCAGCGGATACTGGTGGAACTCTTGTTGCCTACTTAAAAATATGAGCAAATAAAATATTTAGAAAAGTCCGAAACAAGAGCAATAATATAGAATTACAGATATGATGGAGAGGGTGGCGAGGATATTCGGGACAGGAGTCTGCAATCTAGACCCAATGGTGGTCTAAGTGATGCAGATTACCCAGGTATAACTTAGGACATCTCCCGCTGTGATCAAGCCCAAGTGACAACCGTTGAGGTAATTTGAGGTGGACGACGGATTTCACGATGGATGAGGGCTTAGTTTTCACGGACTCACGGATAAATACACCGGATCGTGACTTTTGTCAAAGTTTCCCGGGTCGGTTTTGTCCTTGTCGTTCAGCTGCTGTCGTTCAACTGAAAGGCACAAGTGAAAAAGGAGGTAGCATTGCTCTGTAAGTTCTCACCGCGGGACATTATGCTTGCCAGAGCAAGGCAGCGTGTGTGTGCACTGAACCTGAAAATCTCACCATATGCCCCATTTGTTTACTGGATCAACGGTGAAAAAACTATTTGCCATGCTCTGTTCAAACAACGTATAAGTAAGAATTAGGTCCTCTCGGAGGTGCGATAGTTCGGGGCAGAGGGATCAAGCGCCGCGGAACGAGTTTCGTAGTCCGCGGATTTTAGGCCGACAGCCAATTTCGTAGCAGCTCGTTGGACACCCTCAATGAAGGTGGGGTCTTTCGTGCGTCCTGAGTGAAGAACTTGGTTGGCGTATTCCAGGAAAGGTCTGACCTGCGGCCCATAGGGTTTTTAGAAGTGCATGCGAGTGATAAGGGAGAAGGTGCATAGGATCATCTATAGAATGGCAAATGCCTTTCGGGCCGATTTCACATGATGCAATGAGAAGGACACGTTTGAGGTGACCCGGACGCACAAATCCGTTTTGGCATCTATTCCGATGATGCTTTCTGGTCCTTTTCCACCATATATGACAAAGGCATTCGCTGATCCCAAATAACATATGGACCCACTTTTAATCATTCAGAGGAAGGTACCAGTCCAACGACCACTGCTTGGCAGCGTCTACATCCATTCGGAGGGCACTGGCATTGAAACTACAGGATTTCAAGTCGTCCGCAGAAATTGAGATGGATTCGAAAGCCAATTTTGAAGATATTTGAGGTATATTAGAGACAGAAGTGTTCCCAAAATGTCACCTCGGGGAACACCAGTGAAGACCGGCACCGAACAGTGTGTCGAGTCTACTTTCACTCGGAATAAACTGATGCAGATGCTATCACAACAACCTCCGAAGAGTTTGAAAATGGGGATAGCGATACCTATATACTACTTGGCGAAATAAAAGTAGCACGTCAATTATATCCTGGACACTGGCTCAAATGTACCTTACCAATGAGATGCAAGTGCCGTTAAGGAAAATCCTCTGGGTGGTGTCCACAGGGTTTGCTAATGGTAGCATAACGAATCACACTCGTGGTAGCAGCACGTTAATTTCATCCGCATGCTGACTTAATTGCAGCTGATCAATCAGATGTAAATGCCACTAAAGGTAGCCCCCTGGAACGTGTCGGTAGGCAACGCTTATGTCAGCGTGACGAATGATGTTCGTGGTAGCAGCGACACAATGCAAAATCTGGTTGAATTCAGAAAAGACCGGAGAGAAAAAGTGGCATGTCTGAGCTATATGGAATATTAGTTGATCAGACAGCATGCCGATATTTCGTCACGAAAAAGTGGATTAATATGATGTAAATCCCATAAGAAAAATATGTGACTACAAAGCCAAGGACGAAGGACTCATATCGGAAGCCATATTTTTCGACTTCTCAAAAGCATTTGATAGGGTCCTACACGTCCCGCTGCTCCACAAACTCGAGTCTTACGGGATTCAAGGGAAAATCCTTCACCGGATCAAGGCTTTCTCATTAGACAGATCAGTCCAAGTGAGAATAGGCTCAACCTACTCTTCTCCAGCGCCGGTCTCCGTTGGAGTTCCTCAAGGCTCCGTCCTGGGACCACTCCTGTTTCTGATCTACGTCAACGACCATGCAGACATTCTTGCGAGTCCAAGTCTACTTTTTGCGGACGACTTGAAATCCTGTAGTTCCAATGCCAGTGCCCTCCGAATGGATGTAGACGCTGCCAAGGAGTGGTCGTTGGACTGGCACCCTCCTCTGAATGATGAAAAGTGGGTCCATGTGTCGTTTGGAGGGGATTCAGCGAACGCCTTTGTTATGCATGTTGAGAAAGGACCAGAAAACATCATGAGGATTAATTCCAAAAAAGACTTGGGCATCTGGGTCTCCTCAAACTTGTCCTTCTCACTGCATCATGAGAAATCGGCCCGAAAGACATTCGCCATTTTACGGATGATCCGACGCACCTTCCCCCGTATCACTCGCATGGACTTCCAAATACCCTATGGGGGCTACGTCAGACCGCTCCTGGAATACGCCAACCAAATTCTCCACTCAGGACGCACGAAAGACGTCACTCTCATTGAGCGTGGGCAGCAAACCTCCACTAGAATGGTTGCCGGCCTCAAATCCGCGGACCACGAAACGAGTCTCGCGATGCTTGATCTCTTCCCCCTGGAGTACCGTCGCCTCCGAAGGGACCTGATTCTTACTTATGCCCTGTTTGAACAAAGCTTGACAAACAGGCTTTTTACCGTTGACCCAGCAAACACATGGCGGGGACATAGTAAGAAGATTTTCAGGCTCAGAGCGCACACATTCGTTAGACAAATTTTTTTCTCATCTCGGGTAGTAACTGCGTGGAATTACCTTCCTCCGACATTTGTCCACGCTCCTTCTAGAACCCAGTTTAAAGCACTACTAGACACTTATTTATGCGAATCCTCGCGCTGGCAAGCATAATGTCCCGCGATGAGAACATAAAGAGCAGTGCTACACCTTTCTTCCACCTGTGCCTTTCAGGTGAACGACAGCCACTGACCAACAAGAACAGAACCGACCCGAGAAACTTGGGCAAAAGCCTCGATCCTGTGTAGCAATCCGTGAATCCGTGAATCCGTGAAATGTGTGAACCTCATACCACTGTAACGGAAATAAATTGGTTTGCGTTCACTCTAATTTAGTTGGCTAGGTGAAAAATCTACCTTAGTTAATGGCTGGATTAAACGCAGCTGGAAATACCAACAACTTGAAGAAGCTCCATGTTGCTGGATCGTTTAACTTTCGTGCCTGCCGCATAAAACCAATCCGTCACCAAAGTGGTATGGTGTCGAAAATAGGGATAGAAATGCAGACTACTTTAGCCGATGTTCACAGAACATTGCGCGGTTCTAGATGCGCGCAGAAATATTGCGCGGTTAGATGATTTCCTCATAAAGGTTGCCCCAAGGAACACGTGAATGGCTATGTTCAGAGCATTCTGCGTATAATTGTGTAGGGCTATATGAAAACTATAACTTATGTTTAGTTAGAGTGGAACAATTGAATACGAGCAACTAACCGTAAACATCACCCTGCTAAGAGGCGCGTGATTCAAATGCAGACGGAAATAGGGGAAAGTGGAACGAGGTGCGTTTTACTGACTGTTTTGCTTTTACCTATGTCAAACACGGAATGCAGCTGTGACAGACGAGAAACTACGTACACATCTGCAACTAACCAACCTACGGTTCGAATTCCAGTGGATTCGTGGTTGAGAATTCACCTCAATATTAACTGCAAGCACTCTATAAAAGACTGGTGTCGTAACCTTGCTCCGGGGTAAATCAACCATTCACGGGCCTAATCCAAATCGCCTAGGCGAAACCCAAAATTACTTTGTGTAGGATATCTCCTGCGAGAAGTGCACAGTTTAGAACCGACCACACCCGTAGTTGTATTCAGCCGTGCAGGTGGCAAAACACACATTCGACATACATTCAACGCGTCTCGTATAACAATGGCAATATCTGGTGGCATCTGTTGATCACGTGAGAATAATAAATAATACTGATGATACACCTTGACTAGGATGTTTTCAATGGCGACATCATTCACACAGGTGCCTAGAAGAGTATATGTAGGGGAGGTCAAACAATGATTTGGCAGCGAAGTGTGAAAGTTATTACTAGAAAACTCAGCAGCGCTGGGTACTGCTGTATCCGGATTAGGACCCCGAGACTGGCGGCATCAATGGCTCGAGAAATTGTCATACATGGCCCAGTCGCGCCCTCAATGGCGCTCGTGCGTTCAAGCTATTGCCTTCAACGCATAGCTCCGTTCCCAACCCCCTACTTGACAGTCCACTGACAGGGCTGTATTTACGCATCAACTTATCTGCTCCCGCCTCCAAAGTGCAGCTACCTTCACTAACCTCCCCAGATCATCGGCGAACAAAACTGTGGCAGCTACAACCACTGCACAACAGGTACGCGGTTCTTTAGCTGACATCAACAATTATGATGAATGGAGAATGATACCTTCCATTTACTCGGGCCGAACAGGAAGGTTTAGATGAGGTACACAAACTTGAGCCACAAACTTGAGGCTCAAAAAACAAGACAGTGGGGGGCGCAGAAAGATTTTGGGGCATCGTTCATCCAGCTTATGACTCAAAATACCGACCCACTTGGGTGCAAGAGACTGGCCTTGCCCGAGGGCGCAGGGAGCAAACTTTATGTATCTGGACGGGTACGATCGGCGACTATATGTGACTTGAGAACGAGTGTCCAAATCCACTGCTATGACCCAAGCCCAACCTCTCCTGGTGCAGGTAGTATAATAATAATCTTTATTCCCAACTCGTGGGTGGCATACCTTCGGGTATGATAATAATGTTACACTCAGAATAAAAGCATGATTGGCATTGATTGTGGGCACAGAGTTGGGAAAAGGGACAGCATCATAGGAAGTGGGCTTTGTCCGATGTATGCATGATCACCACTACGCCGACATGGGAAGGAAAGCGCAATTATCGTGCGTTATTGGAGAGAATATAGTTAGGATTTGAAGGTTGTGGTCGCCGGACCTTCCGAGGAGAGCTTTTACTGCCTCAGACAAAGGCGGATTTCAGTGGGGACATCTGCGAATATATATATGTTGAGCGACAATGGGGAACAATAAATTCATTAGCACACACAACGTCCAACTGGTGAATAGGAAAAAAGTGCTGTCTTTTTGTATGAAGGCGCAACATGGCAGAAAAAGGCGGAATTTGAAAGTCCGATTTTTCAAAAAATGAAATTGGCAATGCTTCAGAAGATAAGTGGTTTTTGGAGTTCCTGATGTACCCGATAGTAAGGTTTAGCTGTCTGACTTCTGATGCGGCTACGCCTAGCAGACGCCTTTTGAGCAGCGCCAGACTTGTTGGCATTAAAATGTCTCTACCGGATAGGGTAATACGCTGGTGGTCAAGGCTGACCGTTGGGAGGCCGGAGCGTGTGGTCCTAGTGCAGGGACAGTACGATTTTGCCTTTAGACCGCTTCGTGATGCGATTTCCATCAGCACGGGAACCCACTATCCTTCATTGGAATGCTCCCCATTAGTCTAAAGTGCATGGTTGAACCTAGAG